TCTGTGTATATCCTGAAAAACAAAGGTAGGAGGAAAAAAAGCTACTTGAACATGACTTGAAGAAGAACCCTCCTACCCAATTGAGTAGTATTTTTTTATTGAGTGACTAAAAATCTAATGATATTTAAGAAAAACAACCCAAATTACACAGGAGGCATTGGCAAACACTCAAGGCTCCAGGAATTGATGGAATACCACTTGAGATACTTCCACAAAGAGAGAGATGCAATGCTGGCAGCAGTCACTCCTCAGTGCGAAGACATTTGGGAAGGAGCCACCTTGCCACTTGACTGGAAGAGCCCTGCGTGTGAGTCCATCCCAAAGAAAGATGATCTACCAGAATGTGGGAATTACTTCACAGCATTGTTGATAGACCCAATAAAATGTTGCTGATAATAAGTAAAACACATTTGCAGGAATATATCCACAGGGAATGGCCAGAAATCCAAGCTGGAAGGAGAAAAGGATGTGGCATGAGATACATCACTTCTGATGTTAGTTGGGTTTGTGCTGAAAGTGGAGAATACTAGAAAGATGTTCACTTGTGGTTTTATTGACTATGTAAAGGCTTTTGACTCTGGATCATAAGTAATTATGGATAACATTACAAAGTGAGAATTCCGGAACACTTATGGTGCTCATATGTATAACCAGTATATAGACAAGATACTACTGGATAACTTAAAATCAGGAAAGATAAGTGTCAGGGTTTTATCCTTTCACCATATTTACTTAATCTCTTTGCTGATCAAATTATCTGAAAAAACCAAACCCCGAGGACAAATCCCCGCTCAGGGCACACAATGCACAGAGAGGACCGTAGGACCGCTCCCACCAGGAGACAAGACGTCCCCTCACTGACCCACAGTACTACGGGGGACAGCACTGGTGACACAGTGCAGAAAGTGTGCCCGGTCTGATACCCCCTCCCCCAACAGCGGGGTGAAACACAAAGGGAGCACGGCACGGACAGAGCCGCAAGGAGAGCATGGCAATGAAGTCCCCGAGGAATCCTGAAAATCGACTTCTGACTCGGGCAGGGTTCGGCACCTCCTCAGACACGATTGGAAAACATAACAATTGGCAGACAGACCTGGAACTATTTATAGGCTTTATTTTTTCTCTCCCTCTCTTTTTCTCTATGTTTAGCTATATAAGATAGGCAAGATGAACAATGCCAAGGG